TTTTTTTTTTTGTTTGCAATTTATCAATTTAATCACCGAAAATACGATTACACTGAAAGCCATATTCTGTTATAAATTTAAAGAAACCCAATGTTATCATTATTTTTGATTCTATACTATTGCTCAGTGAAAGAAAAAAAAAAAATTAAGTTTACACTCTTTGGCTGTAAAGCGTATCTTTTTTCTTGTTGTTGCAACACTAAACCAGTGGCCAAAATCAGATGGTGTTATTGACAGCTATCACCAAACACAGATGTTGTTTTTGAGGAAAAACAACATCAAAAAATACATTCTTATTACAACCTCAGGTATTCGGAATGCAGAAATATTTTGAAAGGTTTGAAACAGATACAGCTTGTGAAAGTAACTTTTGTATTTAACAGTACTTACACAAACACGTAAATACTATACCGCTTAATCTTGTAAGTTGTAATTAATCTTTGAAAATAATCCTTTTTTTCCCCCATCAAAAGCGTAAATTTTTTTTTTTTAGCAAAAAAGCAAAACGAGCAATAACAATGATGGAAAATGTTGAGAAGATTTTGAAAACAACGGCTTCATTTATTACACTGTTAGATAATACACCTGCTAAATTGAAGAGTTCAAAATTCTTGGTTTTTGCTCACAATACATACAGCAGTTGTTTCTGATGTTGAATAATGCTTGTTTTTATCGGCTCTGAATATTTCGATATTTTTGTAGTTCCTTTTCAGCTATATTCGCAACAAATCGACAATCTGTATTCCTGCTTTGTTCTTTTCAAAACGTTTCCAACATTTATTTTTCTTTTCAACTTTTTTTTTTTTACTTTATGAAAATTCTTGATCTTTGTTTTTCTTCAACTTTTTGTGGTTTAATTTTTTAAAAATTTAGTTAATAAATTTTTGTATACTTTTATGACGTTATCAAACTGCATCCTACGCTTAACAATTAAGCTCTAAACATTGCTTTTAAAAATGCTGTTTTGTCAATCATTTTAATTTTTGCCTATTTGCTAAATCCGAACAGTAATTCAGCAAAAATACCGATAAAATAAGTCAGAAAAAAAAAGAACATATTATGAATTATACAAAAATTTATCGTTTCAGCAGTACACTTAGTGCTGGTACTTCAACAAATTTACTTCAATGATTTTATATTGCTCTAAAAAGTTTAACATTTTACAGTTTTGCTAAAATCATATGCTGTTGTAATCTGTAGCAAAATTTTAGGCAATTTGGCTAGCCATGAAAATCAGTATTGTTGTCCTCTTACTTCTACCAACAGTAATCTTAACTGACACTGCACCAACTCGAGCTGCCAGTGTTAAGGGAACTTTGCTGTGCGGTAAAACTCCGTATGAAGGAGCCCATGTTTTTCTTTTAAGAATGAAGTCTGAAGGTATGTGGAAGATTGCTGATTATCTCAGAGAGTGCTCAGTATCAAGCAGCTACATAAGCTTAGCTGTTGTACAGCAGTAGTGAATGAAATTTTTTGTTTGTACCTGCCAAAAGAAATTTCTAAACATAATATTATTTAATTATTATCGTTTTCAATCTACCATATGTAAACTATTTTTGTATTCAGTGATAGAAGAAATTAAAAAGTTAAGAAACTTCCAATAAAAATATTTATTAGAGCTATGAAAGCGTTTTTATAAAACAGATTCTTGCAGATAAAAATCAAATTTTGGATAGTAGAATTACATCCAGATTTGGAATGTTCCAAGTAGACGGAAATACACAGGGACGTGCACAGAACGAAACCACTTTGATGCCTATTTTACGCGTTTTCCACAGATGCGATGTTGAAGACAAGCACACTGTAAGTTTGACTGAAACTAACTGCTTTGTGTAACCGATTTCCACAGTTGTCTTCAGAAGTGGAGCATTAAGTTTATTCTGCAGCTGGCTCCTAAGTTATTAAAAAAATTCCAATTTTTCATTCCCTAAATATGTCTACTATACTTAAGATTCAACGCAATAGAAAAAAAAACATTTTATCCATAGCTATTTTATCAGCGTTACTTTCATTCGTACTTTTTTAGAATCGATATAGAAAATGGCAAATGCAAATTCCATCTGAATACGTCAGTAATGGAAGACGAGCGCTGAAGGTTTACGATATCGGAACCCTAAATCTGCAGCTGCAGTTTCCGAAGGAAAAGGAAGTTACCTTTGAGCCAACAATGTAACTGTTCCCGGGTATATTATTATTGTAAATGATGTCTTAGTGGCTTACTGTTACTAGTGAAATCGTGAAATAAAAGTTGTTACTAAAGCAAGATTTAACACACTGCTTAAACATTCAAATCCAATATGATTGCATTCCGCTAGAATAGCGTCAAAATTTAGCCGGTGTTTCCAATGACTGTTGAGTCTATTGACAGCAATGTAAATCCCTTCCCAATCAACCACATATACCAGCCTCAAAGTAGATAAGCTAATGAAAAACACCATACTGAAATTCCATAAAGCAGCATTCAACACCTGCAGTAATCGTGCACATGTCAAAATGTCGTAGTAAATTGTAAAACACGTTCCCGGCTTCAAAGAATACAAATCTTGTTCTTTTTGCTAAGCCAAGCTAGCCATAACTTACAAGTAATTCGATGACTGTTGTCAATATTGAATTTATTGGTATCCATTATATGCAGCATTATTGTCCACAAAATCAAAATCCATCCCAGAAATTATTCAACGCTGTTATTTGCTATAGAACAACGATTTTTGTTTGTGTGTTCATCACCAGACAAAATCCTATCAGTTTTTTTCTTGAACATAATAACATCATTAAAAAACTAATTATTAACAACACCAAACCAAATGGACCTCTACCTCGACAGTTCAGAACATGTAAAAAATTTACAAGAGGAAAAAAAAAGGAAGAAAATGTTTTGAAAAAAAATAAAATTAAAATCCAAACAATTTATAATTAGATTCTCTAGTAATAAATGCAAAAGATAAAAAAACCGGTATCTAGATTTGGGAAAATTTCTAAGTAAAAATCAAAATCAAAGGCAAAGGAAAAAAAAAAGTAGAAAAAAGGAAAGAAACAGCTGTAGACAATGAAACACTGAAGCTAAAATCGATTTAGCCAAAGAAAAAAAAAATGAGCAGAAAGAACAAAAAAGAAAGCCAACTAATTGCTAAAACTACTGGATAAAGAAGTACCAAAAGAAGAAACAGTTCTCTTTGAAGAAAACTTTTTTTGCAGTTACAGAAAGAAAGAAATACAAAGCAGAAAAAAAAAAAAAGAAAAAAAAAAA